GCAGTACAGTCCTTGAAGCTAAGGATTTGGCATCGTGTTGTCAAGACTTGTTTCACGACTGGAATCATCCAATGGTTCAGTTGCTGTTGGTTTTATCGAAAATCTTCAAACCATATTTTGGAGTATTCATCGTCATAACCCAGTAAAAGCAGCGGGATGCGGTGTCATTTCAGCAATAGTCAATACGCTCAGGTATGTGGTGTTATGCATGAATGTGTGTCCAGTCATCACAATTGGTAAATTTGACATGGTTGGATTGACATGACATGAATACAGGAGTGTCGATCAAGCAGTGGTTGATCAAAGTATTGATACTATCGGGAATTTTTGCAACTATAAAGATTGTGAAGTAATTGCAACCGAGTTGATGAGGTCGGGTTTGATTCAAATGCTTAGCGACTTGTATATCAGATACAGCAACGACTCTGCACTAAAATCACGCATAATCAAGATAGCTGGAACAGTTGCATCCAAAATGCGTGACTTTCCTGTATCGCTTGTACGATCGTTGGTTTTGAGCAATTGACGATATCAGTGTGTGATGTCGATATGTATGACTCTTTGTGCCTGTTTGAATATGTCAGCGACATGATTGAGAAATCTACAAACAAGGCCGAGATGATCAAGGTGTTTCAAGAATATGGAATTGTGAACCAACTCAACACTATTTATTCACGTAGAGATATAGATCTGTATGATTATGATGGTTTTGTAAACCTACTCAAAACATTTATTGATTTTGCCGACAATCATCCCGACAGTTCAATACGTACCGAGTTGGAACAAGGCGGGATATTTGAAAATCTAACGGCTATTGTACAATCGGATGATACTGACTACATAAAAAGAAGGGCTGCTGGCCAGATCATTGAAACGTGTTTCCAGCATCTGGTCCAGACTGCTAGTTCGAGCATTCAGCCATACGATGAACATGCTAAAAGTAATATGAAATCTGGAATGGCCGGATATCCATATGAACAGGTGCGCACACTTGTTGAGATG